CGTAGCTTCCCACCATTCTTTAAGGACAGGCCCCAGAACCCAGACCCTTCAAAGGCCTCCCTGACCCACCTCGCCTCCCGACACCTCCTTGCAGGATTAATTGTTCCCTGCGGCGTTACGCACACTTTATTCAAACCTCCCTCCCGGGGCTGTGCCACATTATATTCTACTTAGCTGCTCTTGCTCCTGACTTCCCCAGGACTAATTGACTGGGGCCCTCTGTGTGTCAGGCCTAAACATGTGTCATCCTCACTCCCACACAGGCTGGGACCGAGGATGGTGCGGTTTTCAGATGAGGACCTGAGGAATGGGAGGTGCTGGCAGGAGCCCTCCGGATTCCACTTCAAAGGCCTCGATGGTGCCCTGACACACATACACAGCCTGAGATCACTCTGAAGAGAAAGATGGCTGTGTCTCCACACAAAGTGTGACGTTCATGTAGGCTCTGCCCTGCCCTGAGATGACTCCAAGGCCAAAGCCATGCCACTGGACTCCTGGGCTGGACAAGAATGAGGGTCTTTGTGTCCAGACTTCCTGGTTGGGAGTTGGCCATCTCAGGCACAGGGGCCCACAGACACCAGGCTGCTGAGCTAGACACTCAAGACACAGGCTTAAGGTCACATCCCCCTAGGCAGAAAGAAGGCTCAAACACTGTGAAAGCCACAACACCTCCCATCCCAAGTAGAGAGCCCCAGACCTGAGCTCTCCCCATACACAGCCCTGGGGGTCAGATAATAGCTAATGAGACAGACACTGCCCCCAGCATCTCCAATGCCTGGAGGAGAGAGTGGCTACAGGGGCTCCCTAGCTTATCTTGCCAGTGTGGCAGTCAATTTAATTAAGATGGATGTGGCATACCCCCATGGGCAGGCACCATGGCAGGCACAGATGGCAGGATCTTGAGGCTCTCCAGGGTGCTGCCCTGGCATGTGGCCTTGGCCATCAGCCCCTGGGGTAGCTGTGGGGAGAGTTTAGTGAGTTTGGCTTGCCTCTGTGACCTTAAGCCCTGCCACTCATCAGCCAGGCATTCTTCCTTTTCTCTGCCTCCATCCCCTGCCACACAGCACTCATCCATATCACACACATGCACACCACCACCTCACATCTCACACATGCCAGTCACACCACACGTGCCATTAAGGCAGGGTTAAAATCAGTCCTGGGCTTCGAATGCCAGGTGGCCAGTAGAAAGATGGGGGTGAGGGAGTGACAGGGGAGGGCACTGGACCTGCCCTCTGCAAGCATTCCCTGGGTCCTACACCAAGGGACAGAGATACCTACAACCCACCTAGAGATGCTCTCCCTTAAGCTTCCCACTTATCAGAGTGGGGATAAGGATCAAACCTCTCCCATCCCCTCACAGCCCCCCTCTAGCTCCCCCTATATCCTTCTCCATGTCCTTGCAGCTGGATAGAGGCCCAGGGGGACACTCCTCCCCATCTGGAAACAGAGACAATGTGAGACCAAAATGAAGATGCACACACACACACACACACACACACACACACACACAGTGTGGAAGCCCTGGTAGGACTTCAAGACCCCAGCCACTCCCAGTCCACACTGCCCTCCAGGGGCCATCAAATGCCCACAGGCCAATGCTACCCCTGGCTTCAAAAATAAAAATTTAAAAATTCCCACCCCGAGATAATTGCTCTCTTCTCTCGCCTATTGTGGTGGCTCTGCGGTCGGCAATGAGAAGCAATTATTCACGGCTAATGATTATAATCAAGTCAAATAGAATTTAATGGACATGCATTCTCTTCCTGCTTGAAACTTTACATATGAATTAAGCACATATGGGTTTCACGAGGCTCGGACGCAGATTTATGCAGCCCTGAAAAGCCCCACATTGCCTGCGAATTTTATTTCACTAATAAAGGCTGATTTATGGGCTCCTCGGAAATGCAATCTCTGCTGCCCCCTGGTGGGTGACACTGCCGGCGTGAAGCCAGGGCCCAAGGCTTGGGGAGGGAACCAAGGCCACTGAGGACCTCTGTCTGACCAATGCCAATACTACATCAAACACGGGGACGCCAGCTCTGCATGGGAAATCCATGACCAACACCTGCTTCAGCCACTGCTCGACACTCTGGAAGGGTTCTGAATCCTGACTGAACCTCTTTCTAGAAAAAGACCTCAAGAAAACATACTAAGTGTTGGGTTTACTAAGGCAAGCAAGAGAAGGGACAGCTGCTTATCTGCAAGAGGCACCAAGTCCTTGGCCTTGTTGAGCTGCCACTCAGCATGTTGCTAATGGTGTCACCAGCGCAGGTTTTGAAACCTTGGTTCTTGTGCAGGTGGTGAATGAGTGTCATTTCTACCGTACATGTCCCCAGCAACCTGATGGGCCGCTTTCTGCCATCTCCATTGTACAGAGACAGAAAGAAGCCTGACAGATGGAAGGATACCACATTCTGGGGGAAGCATGACCAACAGGACCACCAGACAAGGGCAGCCAGCTCAGCCAGTGCTGGAGGGTTCCTCAGTGAGAGAACTGACAAGCCAGTCCATGCCCCATGCCCCAGCCTCCAGAGCTTTCTCCGGTTCCATGAATCTAGTGGCACAAACCTTGGTCCCTAAACCCAAATTTGTTCCCCAGTCAGGCTGCCAGGGAACTCATGAGGCAAAGCACCTGCTTTTCCATTGTCCATTTTACAGCTCAACGGGAAAAAGACCACTGGGTGCCTCCCACACCTTTGGCAGTAACCAGCAGGGCCAGTGCCAGGGTAAGGCAGACCCAAGAGACCTCTTGAGGGACTGGTGTGCAAACCAGACAAATCTATCTTCACTCAGATGGATTCATCAAACTCCCTGCCATCTACCCTCTGTCAGGTGCTCAAGGGAGACACACAGAAGCAACAGCTAGAAAGGTAAAGGGACCCAAGCTCTATCTGGCACTGAGTGCCTGCCACCCATCACTGTGTGCCTGAGACAGGCCGGGTGGGGGAAGGGCACAGTGTTATACCTCTGGAAACACTGCCAGAAATGCCACCCTGATCATAAATGTAAAGGTCCAGTGCAGTCACCTCTGCTGGGAGCCCAGTTACTTAAGGAGGTCAAAGAAGCCTTGACAGCATCAGCAGCTCCCCGTTCCAGAGTCCTGGAGGGACCTGCTCCCTTGTTAAGACTCAGGTCAGACAGAGCTTCTGCAAGCCAGAAGGTTGAGAGGAGGTCCAGAAGCAGCTGGGGGCGGGGGTTGCAGAGGGACCAGGGCTGCTTTGATGGGATTTCCTGTGAGTCAGAGTCCTGTACTAGGAGCTCTCACCTGACATTCACAGAGTCATAGAAAGACACCTCTGATGCCCATTGTAGCTCCTGAGGGTTATACGAGGGCGGGAGGGAAGCCACCCGACCTTGTTCCAAGAAGTTCCTATGCACATGCTAGACTTTACTGACCCCAGACACCCGTTCCTGATGACTCCAGAGGCCTCTTGACCTCAGCCGGATAAACACCACAGCGTTCTTCCCTCCCCCAGAAAAGCAGCTGCCTCCACTCTGCTCATCACAATAAACCGCCAAGCCAGCAAGAGGAGAACACATGCAGGAAGCTGAGCAGCTCCCAGCCCAGGCGCTGGAGAGCTGCCAGGGGACTGAGGGGACCTCTCTGTATACTCCCTTCCTTCCATGAGCTCCCTCACCTGGCCAGGTGTGGAGTGAGGCAGGGCTGGTGGGGATGGAGAAGCAGCCCCCGCCCCCGCCCCCACCCCAGGATGAAGAGAGCTGGTTTTGGCCTCCTCAAGGGCAGGGCAGTGTGGCATCATTCCAGCCATGTTTTCCCCCATCCCCACTGCTAATGGGCCTCAGAGCTGCAGGGCAGCTTGGCAGAGTGAGGTGCCCCCACAAGGCAGGTCAGGGTTTCAAGAGAGGAAGAGCCCAAGTGCCGCCACGCTGGGCTCCTGTGGCGCCAGCAAACCATCCACACCAGCAACTGAGAGGCTCTCTGGAGCCAGGTGGCGCCCACCCACTTTTTTGGCACAACAACCAAGCTGAATGTGACAAAGTGGCTCCCCAGGCTTCTGACTCAGGCCAGTCACTCACCAGCGTTGACAATGGCATCCACTTCCAACTTGGTGATGTCCCCACGGAACAGGGAGATTTTCTCATTCAGCTGTTTGTCCTTCTTATATTTGGGGTCCTCCACCTTCACAGCCACCCCTGGAACAGGCAGCGTTAAAGGGTCACAGAGAGGACCTTCATTGCAAAGTGACTCAGCCAGAGCCCATGGGCAGAGCCTAAAGGATAGTGATTGGCCACTAATGCTGGTAATGACGTCCTACCCTGAATGAGCACCTACTGTGTGCACACAAGGCCTTTACAATAATGTTCCAGGAAGCATCAGTGACATACATACATCCCTTTTCCTAATCTTATCTTGCTACATAGCCAAGACTGGCCTTCAGTTCCTCATCTTCCTGCCTCTCCCTCCCAAGTGCTGGGATTACAGGACCGCCCTACCACACCTGGCTTTATACACTCCATTTTATAGGTATCACAATAGAGGCTGAGATGGGATAAGTGAGGTCACAGGTTAGCCCACTTGTACTTTCAGGCCTCAGGAGTTCCCCAGCATGCCCCTGTAAGCCAATGCATGGTGGCATCAAAGCCCAGCTCCCAGCAACTGAGTTACCAGAGGTAGATGGCTTATGTGGCCTGGAGCTGGCTTCCTGATGCTATCATGGGACTGAAACCCAAACTGGCCTCAGGCAATGTTAATAATTAAATGAGGTGACACATGCAGAGAGCCTGGATGTAGAGAGCACTTAATTGATACTACTAGATGCTTCTGGCAGATCCTCCCAAGCCAGTCTACAGGGGCACCTGCCATGCCTGGAGAATAGGGCCTACCTTTCGCTGTCTCCTTCCATGTGGGGATCTTCTTCAGCTTAATGAAATCCCTGCAGAAGTAGTGTTCCTCCCTCTGCTTGTCACTCAAGCCCTTCAGAAAGGCTGCAGGGGCAGGACATGCAGGAAGGAGAGTCAGTGCAGCAGGGTGAAGAGCCGTCCCCATCTAGGCCGCCTCCTCCTGCTAATAAGTCCAAGAGTGCAACCCCGTCCTACCAGCCATGCTTTCCATCACCCTCAGGGACAGAGACACGGAAGATGCCACATCTTGTCCTGCTGTCTTTGTTCAGGAAGAGAAACTGAGGACCAGGGAGAAGGAGGGGTTTGTTCAGCCATTGTAGACCCCAGTTCAGAATTCGACCTGGCCACTTTCTGACACCTAAACATTTCTAGGCCCCTCATTTCTGCATTTGTGGCGGGATAAGATGTCCCTTGCAGAACAATTGCAAACTCGCACGCATTAAGCCAGGCAGGCTGGTGGTGCTTTGTCCCTTGTGGGTCACAGTGTCACTGATGGCAAGACAAGTGTCTTCAAAGACAGACTCCAGCAGATCAGGAGCCTATTGTCAGTATCCTCCCAGCACTGGTTTCTATGCAGCCTACAGGCAGACGTCCCTATTTTTACAGATAAGACAGCAGGCACTTGGAAGGCAGGCTGAGGTCACTCAGATGTTGAGCGAGGACCCAGGCCCCCACCTGCTCACACACTCTGGGTGTGCCAACTTGGTCCCCCCTGCCCCAAGTCAGGCCTTCCCTTGCTGTAGTGAACTTGAGCCACCTCAGGCATTTCTGCTACAGCTTAGTCCAGGCTTATAGCTCAAGGCTCCCCCTACTGGTATGAAGCTGTGTATACACTTAGGCTCAGCCTGTCCAGGTTCCCTGAAACAGGCTGGTAGAATGGAGTGCACCTTACCATCACCAGAGAGGGGATAGCACACAATGAAAGTCACATGAAAAAACCCAAATGGCATCAGAAAACAGATGGGAGTCAGGTCTGGTGTTGTAGGTCAGCTGGTAGAATGCTTGCACAAAGCCCTGGGTTCTGGACTGGAGAGATGGCTCAGAGATTAAGAGCACTGGCTGCTCTTCCAGAGGTCCTGAGTTCAATTCCCAGCAACCACATGGAACCTCACAGCTATCTGTAGTGAGATCTGATGCCCTCTTCTGTGTGCAGGCATAAAATTTTATTTTATATACATAAAATAAAATAGAAAAAGTTTAAAAGCTCTGGGTTCCAACGCATGCAGACAGAGCACTTATATACATAAAATAAAATAGAAAAAGTTTAAAAGCTCTGGGTTCCAACCTCACTATTTCCCTCCCCTCCTCTAGGTGAGACTCAGCTCAAACCCAAGGGCATTTCCTGACTCCAAGCTGACCCTTTACACACACTCCCCATTTCCAACTTGTCCTCCTAACTACACCGGCACCCACTGACCTGGTAATTTACCAACCTGTTCCTCAGACATCCAGGTAATTTCCTGCCTCAGGACCTCTGCACCTGCTATACCTGGAATAGTAGTTTTTCTTTTGAGTCCCTTTCTCATGGCCCTCTCCAGTCCCTTCTCCACTAAGAATCTTGAGAGTCTGTGTGCTCCTTCCTGGACCTTGGCCAAGAAGATCCATGTGAGGACCTGTACTGCTCACTGCCAGCACAGTGCACAGTGTGTGCGAGGGTCCATGGCTGACTCAGTGAAGAGCTGAAACCTGAAGGCTGAGGGTCAGCCGGCTGAGCAGTCAGTCATCCAGGCAAAGGGCCTGCCTCTGCAGAAGTGCTGAGGCAAGAGGGAACATTTGGGGATGATGTGGAGGGAAGCTGGACCAGCCGGAGCAGAGAGAGAAGGCAGGGCACAGAGGGATGGAGAGAAGCCACGTGGGGCTTTCATTCCCCTTTGGCTCCCACTATGCTCAAGGGCAAGTCATGGCCCGAGCCTGTTTCCTTCTCTAAGTCAGAGACAGACTCCACCCTCCCTGGTACCCAGATGCTGAAGGTCTGTGAGAAAGGGGCAGTCAAGACTGGCAAGAACATTGGCTCAGTGGCAAAGTGCTTAGCTAGCATGCATGAGTCCTAGGTTCAACCCCACTTCCAGCTTTAGAAAAAGAAAGCAGAACTGCAGTTCAACCCCTTTGTAACATCACAGATTCCTCAGGAAGGGCACCCAACAGGGCAGGATTTGAGAGACAAAGCCTTGTCCACATGAAAAGCAGGGCAGGTAGAGCTTTGGCCATTATGTAGCTCCCCATACCAGTTATCACATGCAATCATGACCAAACACACCCTGAACCTTGGCACAATCAAGTGTGGATGCTTCCAGCCGGCTAAACCTGGAGCTGGCACCAGGAAGCTGTGGTGACACAACCAACTGCTTGCCAGACACTGCAGACCAGCTACAGGTTCTGCTGAGGTGGTCAGGCTGGGACCAACCCTGGTACCACATGGAATGAGTCCCAAAACCCAAGGATACCTAGACTGCTGGCAGACACATCTGACAGATGCCAGCACCTTAGAGGAGAGGCAGAATGACCCAGCCCTTGTCACACCCAGGTGAAAGAAACCTGGGGTGATCTGTCCTTCATAACTTTGGTGACCTATTTTGAATGGCCATAGTTCTCAAGGCCCACTTGCTCCACTGGAGTCCAAATAGAGCACTGTTTCCCACAGACTGCACCCTGTCTCTGCCACCAACCAACACTACACCAATCTCAGGGACATCTGTCAGTCTGTCCATGCTGGTCCCCAAATACACAACCTCAAATGGCCAGCATGAGCCAGATATGGTGACACACAACTGTTATCCCAGCATTTGTCAAGTAGAGGCAAGAGGATAAGGAATTCAAGGTCAGCCTGGGTTGTATGAGACACAAACAAAAGGCCAGCACACCAGTCTCCATCTCCAAACAAGGTCATGGCCTTGGCACGTTCCTGAGGTGCTGAAAACTACACAGCTGCTCAAGATACTCTCTGCCCTGGGGCCCATGCACTTATTCCTCAGCTCAGCTCCATCTTTCAGAATCATCTCCCAGGCCTTCTCTCTGCCCGAAACAGGAGTCACTGCCCACCTTCTTTCAAGTCAGATGCAGACTTAAAGCACAAGCGAGTTTTATTTTTTTATAAAAGATGTAAAACATGCATTTTCATTCTCTATCATTTTTGAAGAGGCGAGAGTATTTCACGGCTCACTGAGACAGGTGTTGTAAAAAGATGTTCGCAGTAAATTTTGATGGGGAAGCCTGACCCCAGACTAAGCTTCCATAGGCTCGTGGGCATGAAAGCTGGGCAGGAGGAAGCAGGCTCCGCCAGAGCCATAAAGCGCGCCAGGCAAACGGGAATTCAATGATGTGTTTTAAGAAGTATCTTTATGACACTTTGCAAGACGTTGTTCAGAGAGATGAGACAGGCTGGGCCTGGGGAGCAGTGGGGGGGGCTGAGTCTGCAGAACACCAGGTGGGCACAGCTGATAAGGTTGTGCACTCGAACACAGTGGCGAGCAGCTTCTGTGGCATTAATCACCTGTGTTCAGCAGCCCCTGGGAACAGCGACTCATCCAAGCCCATGTCACAAGCAGTGGAGAACACAGTATGACCCTACCTCCACACACACAGTGATGCACCAAGGCTGCATCCCAATATGGAAGAGATGCCTTCACCCCTAATTCTCAGGTGTGCCTGGACGATATGCTGGCTCAGCAGTCCCATCCGAGACACTGTCACTGAGATGATATTCCCTAAGGTCCTCAATCAATCCTGGCCCCTCCAGCAGATCTGCAGCTGAAGCACAGGAGCCTCACCAGGAGCCACAAGGGACAGAGAATGCAGGCTGGTCTGTAAGAGCCCAGCACAGAGAGGACAGGAGGCTGGGCAGAGTTGTGGAAGGGGGCAGCTCTGTAGGCTATCACTCTAGCACAACATCAGGAACTATTGGTTCCATTTCATAGATGAGAAAATAGAGGCTCAGGGAGCATGCAACAGTGACCCTGGGGATTTCTGGAGTCTGAGGGCACCAATGTCCCTTCTCTTTTCAGTACACAGTTCTGCCCCAGCATAGGACAAGAAGTCAAGGATAGGATAGACCCCTAGCTGTTCCTGATGGCCCCAGCTAAAACCCTTCGAGCCAACTGCCTTTCATTGTGAAATTTCCAGTCTTCTTTTTAAGTAATTTGTTGTTTTGTTTTGTTGCCGAGACAGGGTTTCTCTTTCTCTGTGTAGCTTTGGACCTTACTCTGTAGGCCAGGCTGGCCTCTAACTCATAGAGAGCTGCCTGCCTCAGCCTCCTAAGTGCTGAGATTAAAGGTGTGCGCCACCACTTTCCGGCTTTTTTTTTTTTTTTTTTTTTTTTTTTTTTTTTTTTTTTTTT